CATTTTATGTGTGAATATGTCCATTTCAGGTGCTAAAATGTACATTTCCAACACTATCTCATGACCAATTCGTACGAATTCGACGAATGAATAAAAAGTGTCTAATTCGTACTAATTCGTACGACCTCACTCGTTCGAATTTGTACGATTTGTCTAAACCCACGTGATGGTTAGGTTTAGGGGCGGGGTAAGGGGTAGGTCATTCGTATGAATTCATACGAGTTGGCCAATTCGTAAAATATGTACGATTTAGCAAAATCGTACTATTCGTACGAGTGAGGTCGTATGAATTGTTGCGATTTAGCCACTTTTTAATCATTCGTCGAATTCGTATGACTTGGTCGTGAGATCGGGTTGACATTTCAGGTGCTAGGATGTACATTTCAGGTGCTAGGATGTACATTTCAGGTGCTAATATGTACATTTTATGTGCTAATATGTACTTCTCAGGTGCTAATATAGGTCCGAATATGTACATTTCAGGTCCTAATATGTACATTTTTAGGTACTAATATGTACATTTTAGGTGTTAATATGTACATTTTATGTGCTAATATGTACATTTCAGGTGCTAATATGTACATTTTATGTGCTAATATGTACATTTCAGGTGCTAATATGTACATTTTAGGTGTTAATATGTACATTTTAGGTGCTAATATGTTCATTTTAGGTACTAATATGTAAATTTTTAGGTACTAATATGAACATTCAGGTGCTAATATGTACATTTTAGTTGTTAATATGTACATTTCTGTTGCTAATATGTACATTTCAGGTGCTAATATGTACATTTTTCGGTACTAATATGTACATTTTAGGTGTTAATATGTACATTTTAGGTGTTAATATGTACATTTTATGTCCTAATATGTACATTTTAGGTGGTAATATGTACATTTTAGGTGCTAATATGTACATTTAAGGTGTTAATATGTACATTTTATGTGCTAATATGTACATTTTAGGTGTTAATATGTACATTTCAGGTGCTAATATGTACATTTCAGTTGCTAATATGTACATTTTTCGGTACTAATATGTACATTTTAGGTGCTAATATGTACATTTTAGGTGTTAATATGTACATTTTATGTGCTAATATGTACCATTAAGGTACCAATATGCAGCCTTTAGGTACAAAAGTGTATCTTTTGAAAGGGTACAGCCCCAGTGACAGCTTTTGTACCTTTTTTTCTGAGAGTGTATAAACACAATTGTCAAATAAAGTGTGATTCATCTTTCTCCATTTAGGGTATATATATTTGCTCAATAGGGGTCATAATTGTAGAGTCGACATCCCAAGTTTATGGGATCCGTGTCGCAGAGTGTGGTTTGTAAAGATCAGATTGGGTGATCTGGCTCTTTAAAGGTGTCTTATCACATGCACACGGACTGAGAGTGTCTTCATAACTCGAGCTCCGTTTAACATTCCCATGATTGCTTCAACATTTCCAGGGGATTTGAAGTGCCTTTGTTGGCCGTCCAGCCGCTGACACACGGCAGAGGTTAAGAGCTTTCGTACTCGAACATGAGTAATGACACACTTTAGGAGGACAGAGAAGACCAGATAAAGGCTCTTTATCTGCTGTTTGACTTCCACATGTGAGGATGAGTCTCTTCTCTTGGCATTTACTTCTCTGGGCGTCTAATTAATAGGACGGGTCTTCCTGTCTTGTTGCAGTTTGATTTAAGGTTCAGTTCTGAGGTGAAATACAGTTGAAGAGGCCGGTAGGACTCGAAAGATCAACATTAGAGCCGCTCTGGTACAGGAATGACTGTAAAAACACACAAAAAAAGCCTTTATTTTTAATCAGATCAAGCAAAAGATGCAGGAGTCTGAAATCTGGAAGCCAATCATAAAAATTCATCTCCTATGAAATCATTTTGTTCTTTCTGAAATGTTTTTAAGAGGGTAAACCAGTCCACTCTTGTTCTGTTGTAATATCACAGTCACTAGGGCTAATATCTCAGATGCATTAATCAACCCAAAATCCTTCAGGGTTATCTGAGGTCAGATACCACATGTCAACAGCTTTCATTGGTAAAAGGGAATTCAGACATGTGGGACACGCTGTGAGAGTCAGACAATGCAGGTTAAGACATATTAAATCACTTTAAAGGAAATTTAAGGCAAGATTATACAGCAATTTGCGTGTTTTAAAAGAACGGGACGTACCGTTACACACAAAGTCATAAACACGCCTGCAGGCCGTCGCACACTTCAGCGGTGGTGTTGAAACTCGCTCCTTGAGGACATCTTAAACTTCAGGATTACGATCAGCCTCTTATGGGGAAAATAAGCCGTCCTGTTTTGAAAATACATGATCAGAAACCTTCAAGAGTAGACCATCTGAAGTGTGTTTCATCAGAACAAACACTTACCATAGCGTTCAAGACTAGAGGTCACGTACAGCAGTGTTGTAGTACTCGAGATTCGGACTCGTCTCGGACTCGGTCTCGAGACCATATTTTAATGGTCTTGGTCTTGTCATGGACTCGTGTCCATTTGGACTCGGAATTGACTCGTACTCGAACATTTGTTTTTTCAGGACTCGGAATTATTCCCAAGTCCACTCGAGTTCAATTAAAAATATTTTTCATGATTATTAATGTATGTGAATAAAATATTTCTTTAAATTGATTGACACGCCCAGTGATTGGGGATTTTCTAGTGCGCAACTGCGCATGACAAATTGTAATAAAATTACTTTTAACAACCACCTACTATGTGGCCTTTTTACCCTAAACTGATCATATTTTTTAAACTCTAAGTAAATTCAGTAAAAAAAAAAAAAAAAGTATTTCTCTAAGTAAATAAAAGTAAATTAGGTATGGACTCGGTCTTGACTCGGACTCGACTCTCTCTGGTCTCGGTGTCGACTCGGACTCGAGTGAGGTTGTCTCGACTACAACACTGACCTACAGTAACACTGGGGATATTAGTGATGTTTTATTAGAGCTGAATTATACATTTATCTATTTTATCTGCTGCTCTTTATCGAACTGTTAGCTCATGCGCACATATTCTTTTTAGTAAGCAAACACACAGAGCTGCCTAGCAACCGCATAACAGCATGCTAAACCAATGGGAACACCTGGCAACACCCTGGCAGTGTCAAACATCTGTTTGTTATAGATTTTCTCTTTTTTTTTCTTTTTCTTTTTTTGCAAAAATAGTTGTATTGATATGCAAAACTTAAATCATATTAATAATTTAAGTATAACACCGTGTCCTAACTACACGCGACGCGATAAAATTCCAGCGACAGCAAGTGTGTCTGTCCACACTAGACGCGACGCGACTGAGATGCCACACATTCAGAACAGCGTGTGAGTCTGTGAAAGTGCACTGTTGGCCCGCACTTGTATTGGAAATGGGTAAGAATCAAGAAATAACATTATTAAAAATCTAAACATTAACAAAATATACTCTTTGGCTAATTTTGTTATGAAGTACAGATGTTTGTATAATTCATTTTGAACGCTATATTAGGCTACATGCTTTCAAAATCTGAGGTAAATGATCCGTTATCGCTTGTGGCACAGTGACCTATTTTTAACTAAAAATAAATATGTGTACTCATAACTATAGTGTAATGTCTTCATTCTGTCAGCCGCGACGTCGCAGAATAGAAACCGTTTCTAAATAGAAACTTCGGGTGTCGCCGTCGCGTCTGTTAGGACAAAACTCTGATTAACATGGAAAAGATAACGTTGCCTTTTATCGCGTGTCGCGGCGTCGTGTCGCGTGTTGTACTACACGGTGTAAAGTTTTGCATATCAATACATTTTAAAAAAATTAAATAATAAACTGTTTTTTTTGTAACCAGATGTTTGACACTGCCGATAAGTGCTATGGATGGTCGAGTGTTGCCATGCAGTCGCTAAGGTGTTCCTGTTGGTTGTTAGCATGTTGTTATGTGGTTGCTAGGCAGCTCTGTGTGTGTGCAAGGTGGTTTAATAAATTATTAATATGATTTAAGTTTTGCATATCAATGCTGACACATCCTAAATAATGTAATAAACAAGTATGACTTATTGTGTATCTAGCTACTGCACATCAATACTAAATACTAAAATATCAAGTAAAGGCAGAAACACACGGATGGAGTGATGATGGAGAGAGAGATCGGTGTGTTTAGGTGATAGACAGACAGAAATATTAAACATAGAGTGTTTGAGCTGCTTCTGCTGGACGAGAGAAACCAGAATCACAAACACAACACCTGTCATACGGTAGTCACACACACACTATAGGGTCAAGTGTGCTAAACATCCCTTTAACGGCGCCTGAACTCATTCATTACAAAGTCGAGTTAAAAAAAAAAAGCCATTCCCTGAGTTTTATTGCAGTATTTGTTGTAAGTGGAGGAGAATTTCAGCAATGTTGGTTAAATATTATCTCAGGAAAGGTTATCTGTCCAGCTGGGTCCGAACACACTTTCTCTCACACACACACAGCGCACCTCCCTTTATCTGTAACCTTATGAAACGGTTGCACAGCCCTGCTATGATGTATTTTCTGATAAAATATGAAAAAAAAAACGTAATCATCCGCTACGTTTTACGAACACGTCACAATATTCCTCATTTAAATAATTTTTCCACAGAATAAAAGGGCGGGGCCTGGTTGAGTTAGTTAGTAGTGTGTTGAAACTGGCGGTTATGGTAATTAGGGGCGCGACATTTCCCAAACGCTTGACCAATCACAACACACCGATCCAGCCGACCAATCAGAGCACAGTGTGCTTTTCAGAAGGCGGGGCTTCATAGAGACAGGAACTAAACAGAGCGATACTGACAGACTGGGAAGAGAGGAGCCGCAACAGTGGAGAATATGAGGAAAATTATGTGTTTTTAAACATTCAAGCATGAAAACCTGTTCTAATAGAGGCCAAAAACAACATCAAGACTTAATATGCCCTCTTTGAATCTTTTGGAAGGTCCAGATGAAAGGAAATATTTGTTTTAAAAATACCTAAATGTGCTTCCTCCAGGTTCTTCGGGAACTTCCCGTCGGCGAAGCAGTACTTCAGTCAGTTCCGGGACATGCAGGATCCCGAGGAGATGCGGCAGAGCGTCCAGCTGAAGAAGCACGCCATGCGGGTCATGACCACCCTCAACTCGCTGGTGGAAAACCTGCGCGACGCAGACAAACTCAACACCATTTTCAGACAGATGGGCAAATCACACGCGCTCAGACACAAGGTGGATCCCGTCTACTTCAAAGTGAGTATGAGGAAACAAACGACAGGATGCATCAGTTCTGATTTTTGAGATTTTTTTTACATTTTATTTCAATTTTTTATTTCTAGTAACTTTGTAACTACATGTCAGCTAACTCTCATCAGCCCTGCAGAGTCAGACCCTAATTAAAAATATCTGATCCACACTGTAAACTTAAAAATGTAAGTGTTCGCAAGGTTAGTCAACTCAAATATCCAAGTTGTCACTTAGAACAAATTCACATTTCAAGCTGACTAAACTTAAAATTAAATGACCGCAAAAACTTATCGTATGTTGAAACAACTATTTTGTTTATGGAAAGGTTTTCAGGATTACCAGACACTTCCAAGCAGGGGAGTTGGAGCTAAACTAAAATACGTATCTATTTACATAACATTCTCTGGCGCTCTTTGCGTTTCTGTCAAAAAAGACAAATTTTTTTTTTTCAATGAAATTAATGTACTATATTTTGGTTTCAATGTTTTTTTTTAAATAATTTGTATTTTTAGAGGATTTTTTTATACTAAAATATATTTACGCTGTATTTATAATCTATTTATTTAACTTTTTGAGCATATACCTGAAAATTTAATTTCCAACTTAAACTGTTGTAAATCTCGAATGCTTTAGTTCCCAGACTCATGTTTGATCTGTTTTCAAAGACGACACTTGGCAGATTATTGCTGAAGTCAAAAAAGATGACACTTGAGTTAAAAAAAAGTAAACTTAAAAAAGTAACAGAATTTTAACGTGTATTGTTATGAAAAATGCACAAACATAATATTTTCAATTTTTATATAAAAAATCTATTTTCAAAAACACTACAACTGCAAGAAAATCAAAGCCATAAATCTAAACAAGTTGTGCTCTATCTAAATTTGAGGTTGATATCTCCAAAAATGAGCTTTCAGTCAGATGTTGTTTGGCCGCAGTACCGAACGCTTCCACTAGATGAAATTCGTATCATTCATTTCCAATACGTTTTTTACAGGACCATTTAACCTTTACGAATCATGTCCATGATTTCTTCTTTTTTTCACATAGCAAGTGCCAGAACATTTACCAAGTTTCGTACCATTCTGATGAAAAAAATAAATAAAAATTAACCGTAACATTTTTCGGTCAAAAATGACGAAGAGTACCAGAGAGGGTTAATTTATAAGTCATATATGTCTAAAGGATTAAAGTCTGTTGCGTAAAATAAATATAGCAGCAATCAGTCAGCTATTGTATTCCAACCATTACCCCTGATCGGAGGGGATATTTAGTTTATACCTAGAGTTACGCTCCAAATAAATGTAATGGTGCAACGCAAAAATATTTAGTTGTGCGGAAGTTATAACTCTGTGTGCCCACTTATGTCAAAACTAGGCTAAATTGCAACTTACACACAGCTGGTGCAACCGACCCCTGTTGACATATGGTTGTAAAGTTACTTAGTATAATGTCTAAAGTGGACTTTTGAAATAAAGTGTTTCTAAAATTAGTCTCTTCTGCTCACCAAGGCTGCATTCATTTTGTAAATATACAGTAAAATCAGTAATATTGTGATATATTATTACAATTTAAAATAGCAGTTTTCTATGTGAATATATGTTAAACTGTAATTTATTCCTGTGATTAAATCTGTATTTTCAGCATCGTTACTCCAGTCTTCAGTGTCACATGACCCTTCAGAAATCATTCTAATGTCATCTGATGATCAAAAATCAGTTATCATTATGAACAGTTCATATTTAATCACGTGTTCTTGCTGGATAAAAGTATTAATCGTTTTACTTTTCCTGCAGATTCTGGCCGGAGTGATCCTGGAGGTGCTGGTGGAAGCTTTCCCACAATGCTTCAGTCCCGCCTCGGTGCAGGGGGCATGGTCTAAGCTCATGGGCGTCCTGTACTGGCAGATGAACAAAGTCTATGCTGAAGTCGGCTGGGAACCCATCAAAACCTCTCCAAAGTGAAGGAGAGAATTCATGCAGAATATGAATATGAATATATGAATCGCACCAAAGATTACTGCAGATTTGACACGTAAATTTGATTTGTTTCTATATACAAAATCCTGGAAGAAAAAGAGGACGAGTAGAATATAAACAGCTGTAAACCATTTTAATCAGTGTCATGAATAGTGGCCGTTGTAATCGTATGACACGGGACAATCCTAACAAACACTTCTTTATTAGGGATGCGCGATATGTATCGGTCATCATATCGGTATCGGCCGATACATGTTAATTTTGAATGTTATCGGTATCGGCTTATATATGTTAATTTTTAATGTTAGCGGTATCGGCTAATATATGTTAATTTTTAATGTTATCGTATCGGCCAATATATGTTCCTTTTTAATGTTATCGGCCGATATATGTTAATTTTAATGTTATCGGTATCGGCCGATATATGTTCCCTTTTAATGTTTTCGTATCGGGCGATATATGTTAATTCTTAGGTATCGGCCGATATACGTTTATTTTTAAAGTTATCGTATCGACCGATATATGTTCCTTTTTAATGTTATCGGTATCGGCCGATATATGTTCAGTTTTAATGTTATCAGTATCGGCCGATATATGTTCCTGTTTAATGTTATCGATATCGGCACATTTATGTTCATTTTTAGGTATCAGCTGATTCATGTTCATTTTTAAAGTTATCGTATCGACCAATATATGTTCCTTTTTAATGTTATTGGTTTCGGCCGATATATATTTTCATTTTTAATGTTATCGGCCGATATGTTCCTTTTTAATGTTATCGATATCGGCCGATATATGTTCCTTTTTAAAGTTATTGTATCGACAGATATATGTTCCTTTTAAATGTTATCGGTATCGGCCGATATATGTTCAGTTTTAATGTTATCGGTATCGGCCGATTTATGTTCATTTTTAGGTATCAGCTGATACATGTTCATTTTTAAAGTTATCGTATTGACCGATATACGTTCCTTTTTAATGTTATCTGTTTCGGCCGATATATATTTTCATTTTTAATGTTATCGGCCGATATATGTTCCTTTTAATGTTATCGATATCGGCCGATATATGTTCCTTTTTAAAGTTATCGTATCGACCGATATATGTTCCTTTTTAATGTTATCAGTATCGGCCGATATATGTTCCTTTTTAAAGTTATCGGTATCGGACGATTTATGTTCATTTTTAGGTATCAGCTGATACATGTTCATTTTTAAAGTTATCGTATCGACCGATATATGTTCCTTTTTAATGTTATCGGTTTCGGCCGATATATTTTAATTTTTAATGTTATCGACCGATATATGTTTCTTTTTAATGTTATCGATTTCGGCCGATTTATGTTCATTTTTAGGTATCAGCTGATACATGTTCATTTTTAAAGTTATCATATCGACCATGTTCCTTTCTAATGTTATCAGTATCGGCCGATATATTTTCATTTTTAATGTTATCCGTATCGGCTGATAAGAAAAATGTGTCCGCTATATTAAAGCTGATAAATAATGTATTATATCCTTTAGCTGAGACACTTCAGATACGCATTGTTCAGTATGAGAGGTTTGCTTGAAATATGATTGAAATCACTTCAAAAGAGGAAAAATACAGTAAAGTGAAACGTGTGCAGAGCAAGTCTATCATATCAGCAACATAAAATAATAATATGAACATTATAACTGTGTGTTTGGGACGTGGCTTTTCATGGTGAGACTTTTCTTTGGATTTAGATTTATCGGCCAATATATCGGCTTTATATCCACACAGTAATATACAGGAGATCGCAGGAGCAAACTAACACACCCCCAAAGCCAACTGTGGGATTGAACACACAGCTGGAATAATGAAAGTGACACACAACAACAGGTGCAGGAACTAATGAAAGACCTGAGACTAATAATGATCAGGAACCAAAACACCATTAAAATAAAGAACACAGAGAGAGTGAACTTTATAAATGTTTATAGGCCCTAAATATTTTATCTGGACTTTATCGATGTCAGATCCGTAGCAACTGTTATTCTGCTCAGATAACAAACACTTGCATAAATCAGTGGCGAAGTCTCAAGCTCTCTGCGGTCCGGCTCCCGTTAAATATTTACACATACTCCAGATAAACCCTGGCCTCGTACACAAACTCCACCTCCATCACATACAAAAATGTGCATTTCTGATGAAACATCTCTCGGTCTTATAAATAAACTCTGCTGGAGGTTTGTCCAGTTCATCTGTAGCGGATGTTTGCGAAAGAGATGAGTGCTTTTGTATCAGTCCCTTCCTCTGTGTAAAAAACTGATGAAAGTGAATAACAAGGACTGTTCTGTGGAACTGAAGCCGATCAACTCTTTTCTTTTTGTACTTCTCTGAATGTTTTGTATGTGTGATATAATCACTGATTCAGAAATAAACTCAAACATTAAAGAAATAAATTCAAAGTCTTGTGTTTTTGTTTTGGTCATACACTTCTTTTTTATAGAAAAACAACAATATTTTAAAATATTTCAAATGAACAATGTATAAATTTGTAATTTTATTTAAATTCTACTATTTTAATTTTATTTGAATTAATTTTATTTGAATTTTTTTTATTAAAATATCAAAATTTAATTTGTAATATTTATATATATATAAATCTTTTTATTTTATATTTTTAGTTTTTTTAATGTATTACATACATCATATTTTAATTAGATATAATGTTATTAAAATGTTAACATTTAAATATTATTTTCATTATTATTACTATTATATTAGAATATTACAATTTTAAATTGTATTTTAATATTTGAATTTTTAACTTTTAAAAATTTTTAGTTTTTAAATGTGTGTACACACACACATGCACAATATTTATGCATATTTTATTAAAATGTTACCATTTTAATTCTTTGTTTTATTATTATAATTAGATAAAACTGTAACCATTTTAATTTGTAATATTATTCTATAAAAATGTATTTAATATTTAAAATTTTAACTGTATTATATTCACATCATATTTTAATAACATATATATTATTTTATTAGTGTTCACATTTACATTTTTACTTTTATTATTAATATATAAATACATATTTAAATATATAATTGTAATTTATATTATTTTTATTTTAATGTTTTAATTGTATTTGCTACAGGCATGCACTGATAGCCACCGGACACGATTGTTTTCACAGGAAGTTCGTGAACCACCGCAGCACATGTTGTTTTGGCGGTTGCTATGGTTACATCGTCCATGATAAACTTTTGAAAGCACGCACTGTTTACTGTGAGCTGAACGTGATTAAATCTCTATTAAATTCATCCATTTATCAGTGTGTTCACCTGCAGCGTGTGTGATAATCCACAGCGAACCGCAGGAATGGCTCCAATCACACACATATTCAGCCTCTGACCTCAACAAACTTTACAAAGGAAGAGAGAAAACTTCATTATCAAGAGCGAAGTGATAAGAGGAGCATTAGAGAGAGAGATAAACCACGAGCCGGATAAATCAGCGGATCACAGTGGGGCAAATGTCATTATAAACCTGTGTGTGTATGTGTTAGTTTGTGTGTGCGTGCGTGTGTGTTTACACAGATGTAGAAACGACCTGCAGCATCTGAAATCTGTGAGTAACTCTAAACACACAAACACTTGAGACAGACAGATCTGAGTCTGACCACCCGCTGCTCCAGTGAAACAGAAGAAACCTCTTCACACACGCCACAGAGAAACCTCAAACACAACACATTCTTCCCCGTTTTATGAACTCCCATATCTGCTCCAAGAATGGCATGTTACAGGCTGTGTGAATAGATTTCATAAGAGAGAGAGAGAGAGGGGCGAGTTGAACACACACAAAGCTTAAACTTAAAAAAACAAGCAAAAATTAGAAATGTGAAATGTTTGCTTTTTTTATTCTAAATAAAATACAATTTAAGTGAATCTTAAGTCTCTGTAAATTGGAAAAATATTAAAAAGTGTTGATTTAGAAATAGAAATATTACCAGAAATAACTTTTTAGCATATATAACTATGCTATATATGAAACAACAACAACAATGTATTAACAAAAATAAAAAAACACATAACAAAGTACTAAGTTAAATACTAAGCTGAAACAAGCTGCAGATTTGAGCTCCACCCCTCATCAAACACACCCGAACCACACAGGATGTGAAAAATTCTATTCAGGTGTGTTTGATTCTTTATTCAACATGTTAGAAAATCAATAAGGAGAAATTAAGGCACAATGGCAGTATGGGATTGTGAGAATGCTGACTCACGCAAATGACACACTCAAAAACTCGTTAGTCTTTAGAAATTTCTTTAGAAATTTAGTCTTAGAAATTCCCGAGAAATAACAACATTTGGGTCAACAGTCATCAGTATCATTATAATCACCACCACCACCATCATCATCATCATCATCATCATCCAGTAAGCTTCAGAGTTGTGAAGAGAAATGTCTAAGTCTATTCTGAGGGGTTGTTTGCAACTAAAAACGTAAAACTTTTGATGCGTTTTAGCTGTTCGTTTACACGACAACAGCATTTTGTCAGTTCGTTTACATGACAACTGTGTTTTGGCCGTTAGTTTACATGACAACGGCGTTTTGGCCATTCGTTTACACGGCATCAGCGTTTTGGCCGTTCGTTTACATGACAACTGTGTTTTGGCTGTTTATTTACACGGCCACGGTGTTTTGGCCGTTCGTTTACACGGCCACGGTGTTTTGGCCGTTCGTTTACATGGCCACGGTGTTTTGGCCGTTCGTTTACATGACAACAGCGTTTCGGCCGTTCGTTTACACGGCAACAACGTTTTGGCCGTTCGTTTAGATGACAACTGTGTTTTGGCTGTTTATTTACACGGCAACAACGTTTTGGCCGTTCGTTTACACGACCACAGTGTTTTGGCTGTTCGTTTACATGACAACGACGTTTCAGCCGGTAGTTTAGTCGACAACAGCGTTTTAGCCGTTCGTTTACAAGAACAACAGTGTTTTGGCTGTTCGTTTACACGACAACAGTGTTTTGGCCGTTAGTTAACTCGACAACAGCGTTTTGGCCGTTTGTTTACACGGACAACAGCGGTTTGGCCGTTTGTTTACACGACAACAGAGTTTTGGCAGTTTGTTTACATGACAACTGTGTTTTGGCTGTTTGTTTACACAGCAACAGCGTTTGGCCGTTTGTTTACACGACCACAATGTTTTGGCCATTCGTTTACATGAAAACGGTGTTTCGGCCATTCGTTTACTCGACAACAGCGTTTTGGCCGTTAGTTTACACGACAATAGCGTTTTGGCCGTTCGTTTACACGACAACAGCTTTTTGGCTGTTCGTTTCCACGACAACAGCTTTTTGGCTGTTTGTTTACACAACAACAGGGTTTTGGCC